AACAAAAAGTATGAAGAAGAAATTGATAGTTGATAGACAGGTGGGAGATGACGAGGAATGGGGGTGGGGGCATGAAAAGAGAGGATGAGGGGAGGAATTGAGAGGAAGAGTAGGAAGTAAGGGGATCAGGAGAGAGACATGGATGGATGGAGAGAGAAGGGAAAGAAGACGGAACAAGAAAAGAGGGATGGAGGGCAGAGATGTACCACGGTAGTGATATGGAGGGAGGGATGTAGCAAAGTAGTGGGAAAGAGAGGAAGAAAGAACGCAGTTAGGAGAAAGTGTTGGACATGGGAAAGGAACAGCAGGAGAACAGCAAAGGAAAGAACAAGAGGAGGAAAAGAGTGAGGGATGTAAGGAAGGATGGAGGAAAGAACAGAGGGAAATGTATGTGGTTGTTGGAAAACAGAGGAGGAAAAAGATGAGGAAAGTAAGAAAATAAAGTAAAAGTTAAGTAAGAGAGGAGGCAGAAGAAGAATGGATGAAACCCAGGTGAACCTAGAGAGTTAAAATTAGGACACAGGTAACAGTGACCCATTTACACAAACTCTGCTTTTGTCTGTGTGTGTATCTGAGTGTGTATGAAGGTGTGCCGTGCCTTTTGAGGCAATTTGCAGTTTGTACTTTTTAAGATGTTCCACTGATGTTCTTCTGCGTGCATCAATCCATGAAGTGACACAATTATCTGTTTTCTTTCTCTCCTGTTCCTGTTTTCCTAAAGTGGGAGGCTTATTTTGATGTCACTTTGAAAGGCGCTGGAATAAACATATGACCAGAGTGACCAGAAATAGATTCTGAAGAGTCAGCCGTAGGATTGTTTGTGTGTGGGCAACACAGAATTTTATTAAACGATGAGAATATTTTAACACGCAGTATTGCAGGTTTTGGCACTTTATCTCTCTTTGGAAAGTGAGAGAAATATATTGCATGACCGCTATCATGAGAAAAGTGTGTGTGTCTGTTTTCAGCATATAGTGCAGTGGTGGCCTGTGAAGTTAGCAGCAGAAATAGCACATAGTTGCGGCAATAGCTCTAATAGCAGCAGCAATTCTTTGAACTACAAAACATGGGTGCAGGCTAGGATGGTGGAAGGTGCGTGTCATGTCATAATCCCATCAGCTGGCCAGTAAGATCCAAGTAAGTACAGTTTCTTTCTCAAGTTTAAATTTATAATTTCCTGCTATTAAGATAAAACTAAATTCATTTAAACGTATAATAATTCATTTCTGCCGCTAGAAGACTGAATAAAGTAGTTTCATCTTAA